GCCTTCCCTTAGTTATGCTGCTATAAGCCTAGGCTGCTGGGGGGCCCCATGATGCTCTCAGTTTCTCTCCTCCCCTCTCCTCTCCTCTTCTTTCCTCTCTCCTGATGCTTCTATATGCCACCATTACACATCACTAACTTTGTGTCTCCTCTCTCCTGTAGTGTCCTCTCTCTCTCTCCCTGTACCCGTACCTTTCTGCAGGTTGCCCTGGCCCTAGAGCTCTTCTGATGAGCAGGCACGGCCACATCAACCTGACCAGTGTTTGATTGTTTGTTGTGTCTTGTTGCTTTTCTTCTTTTGTCTCTCCTCTATCCACTCACTCACCCCAACCGGTCGAGGCAGAAGGCCGCCCACCAAGAGCCGGAGTCTGTCAGAGGTTTTTTCCATTAAAGGGAGTTTTTCCTCCCTACTGTCACCAAGTGCTTGCTCGAGGGGGATTTGTTGGGTGTTCCCTCTATAATAATAGTGATAATAGTAAGGTCTAGACCTTTGTAAAGTGTCCTGAGATGACTTTTGTTGTGATATAGTGTTATACAAATAAAATTTGACTGATTGATAAAATGATATCATGGCTTTAGAAGCTTCTGTTAGGCTAACTGGCATCGTCTGAGTCAATAGGAGGTGCACCCATGGATGCATTTTAAGGCCTACCTTAAAACTCAGTATCCCTTTGCTTGACATCATGGAAAAATCTAAAGAAATCAGCAAAGACCTCAGAAAAAATATTGTGGACCACCACAAGTTAGGTTCATCCCTGGGAGCAATTTCCAAATGCCTGAAGGTACCATGTTCATCTGTACAAACAGTACTACACAAGTACCACGTAACAACACAGCCATTATACCACTCAGGAAGGAGACGGGAATCCAAAGCTCCAAGACCGCCATAAAAAAGGCAAACTATGGTTTGCAGCTGTGCATGGGGACAAGGATCTTACTTTTTGGAGAAATGTCCTCTGGTCTAATGAAACAAAAATTGGACTTGCTGGTCATAATGACCATTGTTACATTTGGCAGAAAAAGGGAGATGCTTGCAAGCCAAAGAACACCATCCTAACCAGGAAGCACGGGGGTGGCAGCATCATGTTGTGTGGGTGCAGGAGGGACTGTTTTTGAGCTTGTAATGTGCTCTTCACCTGTATCCCTTCTCATTACACACATCATGTATTGCTTATTTGTTCTATCCTATGGATGTAGATATTTTTCTGACTCCAAGATGGCTGTGGACTCATTTATTTGAGGGATCAGTTGTTCACCCTCTGGACAAGGACTAGCTGAACTGGTGAAGCACATGAGGATCTACAGGGAGTGTAGTTTGCTTTGCTAACTGCTAACACTCCGGATGCTAACATGGATCTACCCACTTCCCTACAGTCAGAGCAGATAAAGACACCAAGGCAAGTGGGAAACACAAAGGTAGAGGACTACCACTCCTTATTAACACCTGGTGGTGTAATGTTGGGCGCCTAACTGTGAAGAAGACTATCTGCTATCGGGAAATTGAACTCTTAGACGTGAGTCTCTGACCTTACTACATGATCTGAGAGTGATGGCATGCCATTGTTGTCCGTGTTTACATACCCCCATGGGCAAATGCGAAAGCATTGTGTGACATTAGAAGCTGTTCATTTTCTGGTACAAGTAAAATGGGCATCATTCAAAACATGAGGAAAAAATAATTTGTGGTAAAAAAAATTGTAAAAAAAAAAAAAAAAAACAATTAAAAAGACGTGATAAATGTTAGAGCCACAAAACATATTGTGATTAAGATTAAACTGCTGTCCAATTATTAATTTGTATATTTTGTACAATTCCCAGTTTTACGGTGTAATGTGTAAATTCCATTCTTGATTTCACAATAAAACTCTGCATGCAGATCAAATATCTTACCCTGGTTGAGTGAGGATATCCTCATAAAGGCTCTTCTGTCTGCTGGAGAGACGGCACTTTAGGATGTGCTCGTACTTCTTTGGCAGCTGTTTCTCAACATCCCTTTTGGAGCGCCTCAGGATGAAAGGCTGAATCATCTATAAGACAGAGTGACGGGATTTCATATACAATGTACACTGAACAATTGCAGGTCAGGTGAGTCAATCATGTTTCTGAATTTTAATGTTGCATGGTTTAACAGGCTGGATTTTTGGTATTTTATTTTTGTGTTGGCTTAGTCATTCATTATATTGATGCTTGCGGGTTTATAATATATACTGTTTTATTGCAATGTACAGCACTTTTGTCCACTGTGGGTGTTTTTAGTGCTTTATAAGCACGGTACGGTACGGTATGGATTTGCAGGTGTTACACCCACCCTGTGCAGGCGAATAACTAGCTTGTGACAGTAGTCCTGGTTCTGGTCAGTGCCTGCCTTAACAGGGAAGTCAGAGTAGGGCCTGTTAATTCCTGGCAAAAGGAAGTGGACCATGGTCCACAGCTCCTTTAGAGTATTCTGCAGAGGAGTGTTGAGGAGGAGAATCCTCTGCTCACTGGAAGATACACAGGAATATCTCAGTTACTTGGTCAGTTAATCCTAGGTTACAGGCATCTTGTCAGAGTATTTACAGTGATTTCATAGAGAATGACATCTCATCAGTGAAGTAACTGCTTATAAATATGCACATACACTACCAGTCAAGAGTCTGGATGTACTTTACCACTGAACTGAATGGGAAAGTGTGTCCAAAACTTTTGACTGGTAATGTATTCATCACTTCCAAAACACTTTTGGTGCTGTGAATAACAGTAACACAAAGAAGCAGGTTAACCATGATCCAGATTAAGTAATTAACAAGCCTAAAAATTATAATATTGATTCTTGAGAAGCTGGAATGACTACAATATTTATCAAATAGCTCACCTTGTGAGAGCAAAAATTGTTTCCCAGTGTTTCTCGGTCATGTTTTTGATGAGCTGCACCTCATCCAGGACCAGATGTCTCCATCTTCTCCTCAGAAAATGGCTCTGGTCTTTCATCAGCAGCTTGTAGGATGTCACACATACATGGAAGCTGTTGGCTTCTCCCCAGCACTGTAGATAAGCAATTAGAAGATAGGTTATTTAAAAACAGTCCACCTATATTGATAAAGTCATCAATTGGTGTTGCTTAATTATGACAAAACCTACCATTCTTTTATCTCTACGCTCCCTCCTGTTGCCGAGGTAAAGAAGGATCTTGAGGCCAGGACACCAGCGCTTAAACTCTACCTCCCAACTTATCAACTTGCCTGTTCTTACTACAATAAGGTGTGGACCCCAAATGCCTGTTGACAAAATCAGACAAAAGCTTTATGTCATTAATGTTATTTAAAAAACAAATTGCACATTATATATATAAAAAAAAATAGAGAGGCATACCCTCTTGGCCAGCTAAGTGGGCCATGTAAGCCACCGTTTGCACAGTCTTGCCAAGACCCGTCTCATCAGCTAGGATGCCATTGAGGTGTTTCTTGTAAAGGTTTACCAGCCAGTCCACACCAATTTGTTGATACTCTCGCAGCAATCCATGGAGTAGAAAAGGAGCTGGACTGCGGATCTAGTCAAATAAAAGCCCAGTTAAGAAATACTCAAAAGCATGATTGTTTTTTTTATGTATATGTGTGTATCTTACTGAGGAAGTGGTCCTGGAACTGCCTTTGGGCAGGATGAGCTCTGTGGCAGCAGCAACTTCTGCTATGTCTCTGGCAGGTTTCCCACCAGAGTCAGGGGAAACAGTTTTGTCAGCACCACGGCACTGGTCAATACTAAGCAGGGAGTCAATCAGCACTGCTTCGGGTGGACTGCCCACAGGAAACTCCATGTCTGAAAATTAATTACCAACTATTTCAGACCCACACCGACCACAACATTACTTAAAATGGGTATGAGGAGGAAGATGGCATTTTAATTTTTTGATTGTAAAGGCACCTTCAGTCTCTTCCATGTCATCCTCATCACTACGGGGACTAGGCTTAGGCCATTCAAAGCTGTCAATGTAGGCCCCAGCATACTGCTTCATCAAAGCATCCAGCGGCAACTCAGCTAAAAGCCATCAAAAAAAAAAAAATGAACAAACAAAACAAAACAAAGACAAAAAGTTAAAAAGCCATAAATGTTTTAGAACTAAGCAAAAAAAACCTGTTCATTTGTAACTTAAAAAAATATAATATATTGTCGAAGAATATTTTCACTGTATAAATACGAAATGTGTATGTAACTCATTAATAAATGACACACCATTATGAGCAACAGCAACATACAGTATATCTGGTTTGTCAATGGCCATGTATGACATTACAACATATGTGACATTCAGTAACAGTCTGTCTACAGACAATTCTTCAGTTCAGATAAGGTTACTCTAGGCCAGTGGTTCTCAAACATTTTTTGTCATTCCCCACTTAAGAGGGTGGGCGAATTTTCAAGCCCACCATTCCCACCGTGAATCCAAGCGCAAGATAGGCTTCATCATATTTTCTTTTCGTCTGGCTTTTTGGTTAATAAGGTTTACTGCCTGTTGTTTCTTTGTCTGCTTGCGCTGAATCGCCTGCTTCTTTTCTGGTCCATGTAACAAATTTATCCATTTACGTTATTATGCCCACTACATACACTATTGGCCCTCTCTGTGAACGTTTCCTTATATTGTTGCGGGGCAGTTCACATGCCGATGGTAAACCGCTATTGTTGCACTATGGTTCCACTTTTTTCTCTCAGGCCCCGAACTGATGTTATTTTAATTTACTTGTATTAATGACCCATTTCTAATTTTCTCTGTTCATTGCGCCCCACCTGTCATGTCTTTATTCCCCACACTTTGGGAACCACGGCTCTAGGCTAAACTTAAACGCTACTATCAGCCACACTGTCTGTATTGTGAGATTCCAAAAAAATTAATACCACCAAAGTCTACTTTACTGATAAAAATGGGGTGTGAGGAGAATCATATTTCTCCTCTCTAATCCTGCATCGCCATTCCCGCACAGAGAAATAATGTAATGAAGTACCATCTTTGGCAAGGTCAGCCAGCTCTGCTTTCTGTTCTGCCTCCCCCTCCATGGCCTCCTGTTCATCTATGGTGCTCTCTTCATCTGGGGCAAAAATAAATAAATAAATAGCGACAGTCACACCATGAGCAGTTGCAAATAATTTGCTGAACAACGACAATGCCAACTGTACAGACGCTTTAAAAAAAAACATTTTTTGCCATATGAACCTCAATAGTTTTGACACGTACCTTCTTCATCAACCAAAGGAGAAAGAGATTTTCTTTTTTTAGCTGAAGTGGCCACCTCCTATAAAAAGAAAAAATATATACATAAAAAAATATCTTAAAAGCAAAAGGTTATTGCACAGCTGTCACACTAGTGTGTGAGTGCAGCATCTGCAGCATTTACCTCAGCTTTCTCTCCTGTTGACAGTCCCGATACTGTAAAAAAAGCAATTTAAGATGAAAACAAAATTTTTCTAGATACAGGTGAGGTAGTACAGCACATCTTAGCTTTGAACCAGAACCAATGGAAGGAAAAGCAATTGTGTTCGAATGTTGGTAGTTGCCAAGTGGGAAATACCTTTTGCTGAGGCTTTTTGTAAGCTGAGCGCTTTGAGCCTTTTCTCATAAATTTCAAACTGGAGTTTAATTTCCACAACCTGACAGAGAGAATTCCTTATTCAGACTGATAGAACATTAATATTTATAAATCATGGAATCTACTATAAATCAAAGTTACATAATTAAGAAGAATAAACATACCTGCTCGATGTTTGACCAGAAGAATTCCACCTCTCGGGCAATTGTACTTGCAATGTGACGAAGATGAAATTCCCTTTCTTTCTTTGACCTCTCTTCACGTTTGTTCTGCTCTTGATGGTAACGGGCACATGTACGAACAAGCTGTAATGGAGACAGTTTGGCTTTCAGTAACATTAGTTATCAGTTTCTGCATGGGATGACTCCTATTTTTGTGACAATGCGTAATTTCTCTCTGAATTACTCTTATCCATACCTTCTTGGCAGCAGCCTCTTTCCATCTCCTCTCCTGGGCAAAGTCAGCTGCCATCCACTGCATCTCCTCCAGGAGGTAGTCCCAGTGGGACTTTGGACGTGAGGCTTCCGCAAGCTTGGGGAGCCTACTGGTTGACCACTGGCCCTCCTTCCTTAGCTCAGAGATGCGTTGATGCACTTGACTCTCCTGCAAAACAGAAACAGCATGTGATATCAGAAAAAATAATGAAGAACACTAATCCTTATTTCAGTTACACCGGTTAGAGATGAATTTTGATACTTGAGCCCCAAAATTAAAGGCTCACAGAATGAGCATACTCAAATACAAAACAATTCATAAAAACAGAACATCTAAGGAATAAAAGCATACATCACTGAGAATTGTAAATAACCTTATGTCAATTGTTCTTATTTATGAAATAAGCAGGGTTTTCCCTACCATAGTAAGGCTTAGTGCTTTTGCAGAGCACCTATGCCGAATGAGTGTAAAAATGCAACATATCATAATGAATGTAAAAACAATTTTTCAGTGCATAAAACTATATGCACTGAAAAATTATGTCTCTCAAAATGAAATATAAGCTGGCAATCAACAGTCACTGTTTGGATGAAAATCTGTGTTACTGGCAGTACTGCAAAGCTAATCAAACAGCTGATTGGATATTTCTCTCAAATCAGGAAGTAGTTACAGCCATTGAATCCACAAAGAATACATGAAGTAGGCAATAACATTGATGGGGAATATGTTCTTGTGAATGGTAACAATAGAGGAGAAAAAAAAGAAAGAAAAAAAGCCTATTTTACAACTAAAGGACAACGCACACTGGGAGAGGTGTCGTGACACCCGTAGCACACACTGGGACTGGTGCGAACGCAATGAAGGACTACTGAACAGGGATGCTCAATTAATTTTTTGAATATTCAAAACCGTCTTAAGTTAAAAAATTGATTATTTCATGCAACTATGGCCTTTAAAAACAAAGAGTCACTGTTTTCCCTTGCTTATACTGGCACCTAGAAATAATGCAATAACGAGGTCAGTATATCATTTTACTACAGCGCCAAATACAAACAGCTGAAACATGCAGAACCATTAAGAAAAAACTGTCACAGCATGACTGGATAAACTGTATGATGATAATGCATGTGAGCTGCGCAGTTGTTTGACAAGTGCTGAAACAGTGTTTCTGACCACAGATGCATGGACAGCGCTTACAACTGAGTCATATATGACAGTTACCTGCTATTACATAAACTGGAAAATACAGAGAACTGTTCTTCAGACTAAAGCAATGCTGGAGAGGAATACTGCTGAAAACCTCGCAAATATGCTTTCCACCATCGCAGAACACTGGGGACTTACAGGTTAAGTCACAGAATAAGTACATGACATAGCTAACAATATGGTGCTAGCCAACACAGCGTGGCTGTACTGGGACTCTCAACAAACTGGGGGGAGCAGGGTCCATGATCTTCAAATAACTGTCAAACATTTTAGCTTGAAATGCCCATCCCTACTACTGAAATGGGTGAGTACTTTAATCTTTTGACACACACCACTGTTAAGCAAATAGGACAATATGTACCCTGACTAGGGTTGCAACAGCATGAAATTTTCATTTCATGCACAAGGAATGAAAACAAAGGGTCTTTTTTATAATAATAATAATAATGTTATGAACAAAAATAAATAAATAAAAAGAAAGTTTGTCTGAAAACCTAGGGAAAGCCCTGATAACTATGAGGAACTTAAAAATATACATATTTTCATTAAAAAAAAAAAACTACTAGTGCTGGGCAACAACTAAAATCCTTAATTGTGTTAACTGCATGATTGTTCTGAGATTAATCGTGATTAACTGCACTGATATGTGCAGCATTCAATAATGAATTCAAAAGTAGTGTATTGCGCGCTTGTTTTTTAAAAGTACTACTATGTGAACAAAAGTGCAATAACATTTGGTTTGCAAACACTTTAAACAAATAAGGTGCTTTTTAACAGAAGCATTCTCTTTACACAGTAGCAGCAAATCTCAAACAATCTAATCAAGCTCATATCAAGGCACATCAATCAAGGCTCATACGTGCCGTCATTCATTGCAATCCTAATAATGTTCCTCAAACCGACATCTTCCACAATACTAATCGGCCTGCAGTTTGTAGCTATCCACTTAGCTGTGGCATTTGTCAGCTTGTCTTGCTTTTGTTTATCTATACTTCTCCCACATGCTGCATCCAACGTAGTCTCCCGAAGCCTCCCTCTGCTGTTTGTTTGGGTGGGTGATTTGCTGGCATCAACGGCGTGTATTGCATTTAAGTGATACTTCAGACTCGAAGTACTCCAGTGATAAGAAAATTCAGCTTTGCAATGGCTACAAATGGCTTTAGTTCTATCAACTCCGCTGTGCAGAAGAGATTTAAATTGAAAATGTCCATGTAAGAGTCCTTTACCTTTCTCCATTTTTTCTGTCCCTGCCAGTTCTATTCAGTTCCAGTACACATGAGTGCTGCAGTGGTCTTAAACCCACCCCAAATGCTCTTATTGGTTGAGACGTGTGATGACGCCCATCTCAAGCCAGTACTGATCAACATCCCACCCCTCCTGTGACCCATGGTTTGTCTGTATGTGTATTCAGAGCCAGTGAGCAATGGACTTTCCAAATAATAATAAAAACAAACTGCGTTAATGCGCGATAAAATAATTGTCTGCGTTAATGAAGTATTGCGTTAACGTGAAAATAACGCGTTACCTTGCCCAGCCCTAAAAAAAAACTAAACAAAACTTCAATTACCACCTCACAGTTGTATGCCTGCGCCAACCAGGTAAGTTTCAGTTTACATACATACAGTGCCTTGCAAAAGTATTCATACCCCTTGAATTTTTTCACATTTTGTGACATTACAACCACAAACCTAAATGCATTTTATTGGGATTTTATGTGATAGACCAACACTAAGTATCACATAATTGTGAAGTGGAAGGAAAATGATACATGATGTTCAAGATTTTTTACAAATAAAAATTTGAAAAGTGTGGCGTGCATATGTATTCAGCCTTTACTCTGATATCCCTAAATAAAATCCAGTGCAACCAACTGCCTTCAGAAGTCACCTAATTAGTAAATAGAGTCCACCTGTGTGTAATTCAATCTCAGTATAAATACAACTGTTCTGTGATGGCCTCAGAGGTTTGTTAGAGAACATTAGTGAACAAACAGCATCATGAAGACTAAGGAATACACCAGACAGATCAGGGATAATGTTGTGGAGAAGTTTAAAGCAGGATTAGGTTATAAAAACATATCCCAAGCTTTGAACATCTCACAAAGCACTGTTCAATCCATCATCTGAAAATGCAAAGTGTATGGCACAACTGCAAACCTACCAAGACATGGTTGTCCACCTAAACTGACAGGCCTGGCAAGAAGCGCATTAATCAAAGGAGCAGCCGAGAGGCCCGTGGTAACTCTGGAGGAGCTGCAGAGATCCACAGCTCAGGTGGAAAAATCTGTTCACAGGACAAGTATTAGTCATGCACTCCACAGGTCTAGCTTTTATGGAAGAGTGGCAAGAAGAAAGCCATTGTTGAAAGAAAGCAATAAGTCCCGTTTGCAGTTTGCCACAGGCCATGTAGGGGAACACAGCAAACATGTGGAAGAAGGTGCTCTGGTCAGATGAGACAAAAATTGAACTTTTTGGTCTGCATGCAAAACGCTATGTGAGACAGAAAACTTAACACTGCACATCAGCCTGAACACACCATCCCCACTGTGAAACATGGTGGTGGCAGCATCATGCTGTGGGGATGCTTTTCTTCAGCAGGGACAGGGAAGCTGGTCAGAGTTGATGGAAAGATGGATGGAGCTAAATACAGGGCA